CGAAAAAAAAAAAAAAAAAAAAAAAAAAAAAAAAAAAAAAAGTGTTGGGAAATCTGGATAGACACATGAGAAAGAATAAAGTCAGACTCTAACCTTATACAATACACAAGAATCAACTCAAAATTGATCAAAGATCAAAATATAACAGCTAAAACCGTAAAACTCTTAGAAAAAAAGCATTGTGCTAAATCTTCATAACTTTAGGTTTGGCAATGGATTCCAAGATATGAAAACAAAAGCATCAACAACAAAAAAATAAGCAAATTTAGCTTCATCAAAACAATAAATAAAAACTTCTGTGTTTCAAACGACACTAGAAAGTGAAAAGACCACCCACGGAATGAGAGAAAATAATTGCACGTCACATATGATAAGAGAATTGTATCTAATATATACAAATAACTTGTTCAACTCAGTAACAAAAAGGCCAATAATCCAATTTTTAAAATGTCAAAGGATCTTAGTAGGTGTATCTCCAAAATGATATACAAATGTTCAAAAAGTATGTGAAAAAAAATGCTTAACTTCATTAGTTATTAGGGAAATGCAAATCAAACCACAACAAGATAAAACTTCACACCCCCTAAGATGGCTACAACCAAAATGTTAGATAATAACAGGTATTGAAAGCAATGTGGAGAAATGGGAAACTTCATATATTCCTGCAGAAATATAAAAAACAGTGCAGCCACTATAGAAAACATTCTGGCTTTTCCTCAAATGGTTAATCATCCAGTTACCTTATGACCCAGTAATTCCACTTCTAGCTATATACCTAAAAGAAATGAAAATATTTTTTCCCACAAAACTTTGTACCTGGGTATTCATAGCAGCATCATTTATAATAGCCAAAAGGTGGAAATAACCCAAATGTTCATCAACAGATGAAGGTATATACAAAATATGTTATATCTTTAGAATGGAATATTATTCTACCTTATAAAGAAGCCAAGTACTGATAACACACTACAAGATGGATGGACATTAAAAACAGTATGCTCAGTGAAAGAAGCTAGTTACAAAAGAGAAGCTATTATATAATTCGGCTTATATAAAATATCCACGATAGGCAAATTCACGGAGACAGAAAGATTAGTAATTGCTCACAGCTGGGGAGGCAGAGAGGGTGGTGAAGAGAATGGGAGATGATAACTAAGGATACAGAATTTCTTTCTGAATTGATAAAAATGTTCTAAAACTACAGTGATGGATGCATATTATCTGTGAATATACTAAAAGCCTTAGAATTGTGCATTTTAAGTGAGCGATTTGTATGATATATACACTGTATCTTAATAAAGGTTTTTTTTTAAGTCTCAGGGATTTTCCATTCATCTCTTCTTCTATTTCTGCTCTATAAAACATAAAGAAGTTACCAACTATACCATGATATAAGCTAACCTGGTAAGGAATAATATTTGCCTTCAGTAGAGAGATTACACAGCCATTGTATAGAGGAAAAAAAAAGGGTTATGCCATCTGTAGTAAACATGGAGCATCTTCCTTTATATATTGGTCAATTTTTTTCTGGAAATATCTAACTGTAATGAATGCATATTTATAATGTTATTACATGTATTTTTAAAAGTTCTTCATAAAGCCCGAGTAAATCTGTAAGCAAACCAAACAAGGCACAGACCAATGATAGCATGGTAAGGTGCATCATTTCAGGATATAATTAATAAATTGGGTTTTAATATTCTTTTTAAAATTTTACAAGGGAGAGTTCTTGCCCCCCCCCTTTGTATAGAGCAAACTTATGTTAGCAAAACAGATTAAAATCAACAAGATAAGACAAAACTATACCCTGAACATTATAAATGTTGCACGTAATTTTTTAAGCCTCAGATAGTTGTACAAAAATCAGGCTTACTTCTAAAAAACATAAGAAAAGTTGCAATAGAAGAACAACACTTTTTTTTAGTATTTTTTTAGTATTTCTATTTGAACACAAAAACAAGCAGAAAGGGCTAAATAACATCTTTTTGTATTAACTTCACTGTATTTTAAATTAAGTTTTATTTGTTGTCAGTTAAAGTGGGAAGTAATCTCTCCATAGAGATCTTTTTTACAGCAGCAACACTGCCTCTACAGATATACAAAAAATATACCACACAGAACTTAACTGGGTGATTTACTGTAGGGATAACATGTTCACCAATCAACAATTTCCGGGGCTGGGGCTGGAGGTGGAAATCTCCCAGTCTGGGACTGAGCTCTTTTCTGATAGTTCAGATCTGCTCCCGCTAGGACACCTGGCAGATCCTAGTGAAAGTTTCTTGCAGTAATTGAAAAGGACCTTCGAGAGCAGGATATCAGCAGGAAACAAAGACACAAAAATAGGACCGAGGGTCTTAGAGGAGAAGAGGAGGCAGCAACTGCCTGTGCGCAAAAGAAAACCGAAGAGCCCCAGCCTAAGTGACCGCGTCACAGACCGCGGTAGGACAGAGCGGAGGTGGGTGAGGGACACACGCCTTAAAGATGCACAGGGACACGCCGCGTGTCACCCGAGAAGTCGGCCCCCTCCTCCTGCGGCCCAGGCGGCGCCCCCGCGCCCCTACCTTGCTGACCTTTCCCCGGGGCCAGGAGCATCAGCACCAGCGCCAGCGCCCAGGCGCCGCCAGGCATCGCTGGGGCCGCGGGTGGCGCGGAAGGCGTCGCAGAGCCCGGACGCGGGTGCTGGGAGGATGAGGCCACCGCGGCTCCTCAGCGCTCCTCTCTTTGGACGTTCTCGGTCCGTTCCGGCTCGGCCCTGAGGGAAGCTGCTTGTCCTCGCTCTGGGGCGCAGCCAGTCCTTTCCCGGGACAGCGACGCGAGGAGCTTTCGCTCAGACCCTCTGCGACGCCTCCTCCCAGCCCTGGCTGCCCGCCCGCCTGAAAGCCACGCCCAGCCTGTCCCAGGACCCCGTGGTGCGCCCCGCTGTGGCTCCTCCACCTTGTATGTCACCCTGCTGTCGCACAGCCAGGGGGCAAGCTCCCGGGATGCAGCTTGGAACGTTGTGTCTCGCTATCCTAACGGATGCTTCAGAAAAACTTGGTAATCCTAGAAACTGCTCAGATGGCCCAACAATAAAAGAAGCCTTGCAAGGTTCTTTTGGAAGGGGCGGTGACCCCGACAGTGACTGCAGGCAGAGCCTTAGTCAGGGCTGTGGGTTTGCTCCCGAAGGTGAACATGCTTCTCAGAAGATGCTCCTGGCACCTTAGATCTCAGCGATAAACAGCGGGAGGAGAAAGATGAATGTTGCGACAGTAGTAGTCCTCTCATCTGCTTCTGTGGCGGGTTTTCAGAAATGGAAGGGACTGCGTTTATACACTATCCAAACCGTGGGTTCTGTCACCATTTATTTGCTGATGATTCCCAGAGCTCTCTCAGCTGTCCAGTGGTGACCCAGGGACCCAGGATCCTTCAACACGTGGCTACATGACTCTAAGTTTGCCCTGAGAATGATTTCCAATCCATCCAGCTGTCTTCAGAGGTGTAGTTGCCTCTGCAGAGAGAGCAGGTCCTTTTTCAACTTATTCTATATCTTTTTATGTCTGGAAATGAAACCTCACTCTCCTGGTTTTTCTCTGGCAGTCTCAGTCCTTGAGTCCCCCTATCCATCACCTGGGACTTTGCCCTCACAGAGCAAAGACCTGAAGGGAAAGGAGAACGTGGTCAGCAGAGGGTAGCCAGGAAGTCCTGGTGGGCACCAACTTTCAGACCTCAGTTTCATCCATAGATTTGGTTAAATTAGGCATGGAGGTGAAGGCAGGAGGTGCCCAAGTGCATAAGGAAATTCTTTTTTTGTAATTCTTTTTTTAACGTGAGAAGAAAATTATTACAATTTTAAAATTTAAAACCTGTCTCCAAAAGTAAAAGTATTAACCCATTTGGGAAAATAATTTCTTTGTTTGGCCACGAAACTTGTGTGTAGCCCCTTTTTATATGCAGAAAGAACACGCTATCTTCTGGGATAAAATTTAAATATAACCTTTTGGTGGGGGTGGGCAGATGGTTTTCATCTTAAAGCCTAATTTTAAAAGAACAGTTTAATGTGAGAAGGATGAAAACCCAGAGATTTCTTAGCATATGTCTTTAGTCTCAGCTTATGAAGTACTAATAAAGCTGAGACAGAAAATAAACATCAATTTTCTCAGTCTACTTGTGAAATCACCAGGAACAAAGTCATAGTTAAAATCAAGATCAGCTCATAATAGTCCTGTTGTGAATTTGTTGTTGAGCAGTGTCTGTAGAAATGCAATAAACTTTTTTCCTTCTCGGAAGACATCACTTATCTGACTTCCACCAAACATACAATTTAAAGTATAGTGGGTCTTATTTTTCCCTGCAAGTTTTGATTGATAAATATCAGTTTATGAGTTCATAATAAACTTGTATCAAAAGATCAATTTTTCTCCATATAAGTGAGTTAATACGGAAAAAAACTAAAAAAAACTGAAAAATTTTTTTTTTTTTTTTTTTTTTTTTTTTTGTCTTTTGTCTTTTTCCGTGTCCGGCAACGGATCGCAACCCTCAGTGTTGCCCCCGTACCGGACCGGGGACCGGCAACGGGATCGCAACCCTCGGTGCTGCTCCCGCCCCTCGCTCAGCCAGTGAGCGGGAACCGGTCTGTATGTGGGATCCGAACCCTCGGGCGGGAGCGCCGCCGCGCTTCCCAAGCGGCACACTATCCAGTGCGCCACTGGGCCGGCCCAACTGAAGAATTTTTTAAAATAAATTTATCTAAACAGGCTTGGGTCTGCAAAAATGTACTGACTGAAAATTAGTTGCAGGACTGTATGAGAAAAAAAAAGTAATAAAAATGAGGTTTTAATATGTCTATGGAGGTTAGTCAAATATTGGTGTAAAATTCCATTTTTTAACCTTTTTTAATTTTGAAGAGAAGAAAAAACAAGGGATGTGTGCTTCCCTAGTGATAGACACAGATGGTACTTGTAAAGTGCAGTAAATATCACTGAGAGAAATAATAAGAATGTCCAAGGGAAGAAGAAATGAAGCCAAGAGCTAATAAGTACAGGGGAGCTTGAATAAATAGAAAAGCCTATGAGGAGAAAATTTCAAAAGATGATTATCTTGGAAAAAAATAAATTAGGTCTTGTAAGATTCATTTAAAAAATGCAGATGGGCTTGTATGGAAGAAAAAAAAAAAACAAATTCAGGGGGCAGAATGATTAAGTGCACAAACCTAGGGTTTGGGACACTGAGGCTCTAATCCTAGATCTGCTATCTATTTACAGGCTGTGTAATCTCTAACAGCACAACCAACCCCTCAACCTCATTTTTCTATGCAATGGGAATGATGATAATACTTACCCCATAGAGTTTAAGAACCAAGAGTGAGTGTACACCTGTGTGTGCGTGCAGAGCTGGAAGGGGGTTGGAGAGAGAGCACTTAGAATACTGTCTGGTCCAGAGTAGCTACTATGAATGGATGTAATGGTTTACTATTATTAAAACAAGGGTGACATTCAATATAATTGGACTTTTTCTTATATAAAAGTGCATCATTTCTTTTTTTTTTTTTTTGTCTTTTGTCTTTTTTTTTTTTCCGTGTCCGGCAACGGATCGCAACCCTCAGTGTTGCCCCCGTACCGGACCGGGGACCGGCAACGGGATCGCAAGCCTCGGTGCTGCTCCCGCGCCCCGCTCAGCCAGTGAGCGGGAGCCGGTCTGTATGTGGGATCCGAACCCTCGGACGGGAGCGCCGCCGCGCTTCCCAATCGCGTGGATTTTATCAAATGCTTTTTCGGCGTCAATAGAGATGA